GGAGTTCTGTTCATGAGACCATCATGTTATGTTAAAGTCCCCTCCCAGGCACCAGATTGAGTGAGGCAGGGACGCGACAAAGTCCAATTCGGACCAAAACCGTGGCCTACAAGCCAAAAATTTCCATTCAAGGCCGTTAGAGACTCTGGACAGTAGAATGGGAACAGAGTATTCCCCTACATGTGAAGATTTTAACAGATGATCAGTGGGGTTCCCAAATAACCCAAATTCCCCCTAAGGCTCCTACCGCAAGTAAGGCTACCCACTGGTAGGGCCTCCTACCCCAAACTTTGGCAAACTTGGAGTAGGGATGGCTTCGGGCTCTTAGTTTCGGTTAAAGCTAGAAGAGTGGGACAATGTTTGGAAGTCAGGTCGTTGATAGCCTTCATGTTCGAAGGTTGACCCAAACCTCTGATATTCCAGGTTACTATCTTCATGGTGAGGGTGAAGAGTAGGGGAGGGAGGCTATTTTGGGTGAACGTCTCAAAGAACCGCCTTGGAGGGAGGGAGAGAACCCTTCAAGAGTTGACGGTCCCTGAACAGATAAGGACGAAAAGAGGTTAAGAAGCTCCTTCTTTCCTTTAAAACCCACCTTCATACGACTTTTAGGGTCGGTGAGTATAAAGCGATGAGCCGGTCCTTCAGAGCCATCATACTGAAACCCCATCACGCAGTACATTTCTTTCATCCTTTCCAAGTTGTGGTCAAGCCCTTCCCCGTCAACCCCCTCAACGCCAGGGTCCACCGAGGGGGAGAGAAGGGCGTTGAAATGTCCACTTTTGGTCTGTTATGCCCATCCCCGTCGACCCTTCCGTTTGAAGCCAAAGATGGAGAGGAAGAGACGAGCTCCACACGATCCTCAAACAGGTCAGTCCCCTGCAGCTGGGTTGAAGGGGGAGGGGGGGGGAGGGGCGGGGCGAAACAAGGGTAAAGATGAGAAGGGAGAGCTGGGGAGGTACAGAGCAAGGGAGGAGAAGGAACCAGAAGGGGAGGATGAGGAGAACGAGGAGACGAAAGGGGAAGAGACTGTGGAACAGGGAGAGGAGAGAAGGAGGGAAGGGGAGAGACAGGAAGGGACGGAGGAAGCAGAAGGAGAAGAAGGGGAAAGGGAGGTGGAAATTGAAAGGCGAGGGAACAAGGATAAGCAAAGTAATGAGAAACCTCAACGGAGTGGTGGGATAGACAAAAAGCCCCAAAACAGCGATGGGAAGAGTGGACCCTGTGAACCCTAACAACATAAGGGGAAAGTCAGTGGAAGAGGAGAAAACCGAAGCGGGGTGGGCAAAGGAGGGAGACTCTTGGTCCCAAAGGGAGGGGGAAGAGTCCATGAGGGCAAAAGGGAGGGAAGGACGAACCGATGAGGAGAGAGAGCGATGTGCAAACAGGGTGGGGAGAGGTCCAGTGGAAGAGCAAAGCAGGGGCAGGGGAAAAGGGGAGGCGGGAGAAGAAGGGACGGAGGAAGGGGAAGAAAAAAGAGGAGGATCCAAAGTGGCAGATGCCGACTGCAGGCCGCCATCAGGAGAAGTCCACGCGTCAAACCAGGGGGGAGGTGTGGGGACGGGGGGAGGCTCGAGGCCAGGGGCAGGGCAAGCGAGTGGAGACGTGAAGATGCTGAGACTGACGGAGAAGAGGAGGGACCAGGGGAAATAAATTCAGAGGGGACCAGGGGAAATAAATGCAGACCGCACTAGAAAAAAGGCCCCAGCTGGCGGTGGGGCAGATCGAAGGGGGGCAGATGGCGAGGAGGCTGTCAACAGGGTAGGTGGGATGACAACTGGTAGACCATCCGGAGAGAGGATGACCGACTGCGGCGAGGCAGGCGCCACAGGAATAGAGGCCGACGTGACTGAGGGCGGCGCAGCAGTCGACGTTGTGGATACGGTTGGGCACGTATTGCCAGAAGCCAAAGAGGCAACGGTAGGGGGGCACGTATGAGCAACAAGAGGGGGCACAGAGACGGAAGGAGAGGACGGGCCTGGAGCCCGAGACGGGCGGGGAGAAGGGGTCGAAGATGGGAGTTGAGGAGATGGGCTCTTGACCAAGTCGTCGGGGTGCCAAAGGCGACGAGGCAGGAGACGCCAGAGAAGCAGCCGGGGATCCCGAAGGGATGGAGGGGGAGATCTAGCCATGGGAAGGACCCTGGGAGTAAACCTAAACTAAGGCAAGGACCATAGCCCACAGGCCGGGTCACTACGTGTACTCATGCCCTTAGCCCGATAGAGGCCCGGAGCCTGAAGCCCGAGGCTGCCAGGTGAGCTCTGGGGGCACGGAGCTAGGCCACGAGACTGAGCCAGAACGAGGTGGGCCTACACCCTGCTGAAGGCGCCTCCTACGTCGACGGTTCCTGTGGAGAACGGGAGTCCAATAAAGTGGATCCGAGGGTTGAGAGATAGGGGAAGGGGTTGAAGAAGGAGGAGGAGGGGGGAGAGGCTTTCGTCCATGACACCAAGACTTGGAAAAAGAGAGACTGAACTTCCAGCCATAAGCTAGAAGGGATTAAACTGGGATCCAAAACTTCAATCAGCAGCCGTATGGATCCGAGGGGAAGAGTCTCAATGGATTTCCAATGGATCGCAACTAAGTCTTCGCAAGCTTCAGCTAACTTAGAGAACGTCACTGGAGACCACGCATGGAGGGGGATATTATCGAGAGTTAGCCATGCTCTCTGTTTTCTATAGGCTCCAGAAGAGGCAAACCATGCCGAAAGCGAGCAGGAGGCCCCATGAAAGGTGGAGCTTTATAGGGACTTAAGAGCTGACTGCGCCATCTCCAGAGATGGAAAGGATAACAAAAAAGAGCCCCTATTCATGCGACGACAGGTGATAGAAGGTTCGTTTCAGCATTTCTTAGCCCAACGTTCAATACCTCTCACATCGTCCTGTTGAGGGCGGAAGGAAGGCACTAAAGAGGACCTAAGCTTATCTTGCAGTTGGGACGAGGTCTCCAAAGGAAGGAAAATGAGACAGGGAAGAAAGGGGGAA